GGCAGGGTATCCCTTTGTAGATTAGGATGGCCCTGAACTCACTATGTAGCCCATGCTGGCCTCAAACTTGCAGTGATCCTCCTGCCTCAGCCTCCTGAGTGCTGGGATTACAGGCATGTGCCACCACACCCAGCTGTGCCCTATTTAGTTTTTCCCATCTAGCCTGTAAGTCGGCTGTGCACAGAAACTTATACTCACTGTGTTCTTTGGACTGCCTAGAACATATCTGGTGCTTTGTAGGTGTCAATAAATATTTGTTCAATGATTTTTCTGACTACTCAGTATTCCATGTTTCTTGTTCCTTTGACTATCAATGCCTCTTCTCTTTTACCACTGCCATATTTCCTAAATATCTAGGTCAATGTTTTCAACACTTTGCCAAGCTGAAGACCCAACCTATACAACCTGACTATAATATTCTTCCACAATTCAGACCCAACCTATTTTTCTAGCCATATTTCCACTGAAGCTATTAAATCTCTTTTCCTGTCAGTCTGGTTGTGCTGCCGTGTGATTACCTTATTCATTTGTATCTTTGTACTGCTGCCTGCCTCAAATGATACTCTCCCTACCCTTCAGATCACAGCCTCTCTGTAACGAGCTCCCTTCTCACACTGACTTACTTTCATCTTTACTGCATTCGTTCCACATATGAACTTTGTTTATACGTTCTTATGCTAACTAATCCAATAAATTATAAGTTTCTTGACTGTAAATGTAGTTCTTTATATTTCCTATCACCGTCCGGCACATAAACTTGAAAATCTTCTAAGTTGCCACTGAAGCACACCGATAAAATGAATGACCAAACATTAGCTCATTAAATTTAAAATAAAAAACTTTCAAAATGCCTGGTATGAACTTACTGCATTCTGAATAAATCTCCTGAAAATCTCCTGCTGTCATAGAAAAGTTAGAACCAGGAGGAAGACTGTGGGGGTCAACATCAGGGAAAAAGATAGGTCGAATCTGATCAGCAGATTTCCGGTTATTGCTAAACTGATGGATCCAGGGATAAAGTTTATATTTATTAATTTCAGAACATCTGCAAAATATGAGTATAAAGTTAAATGTTAACTAAGCATTTCACCAAGAATATCTATGTTAAACACTAAAATATACTCTAAATGTTTGCATGTAAAATTCATTAGAACAGTGTCAAAACTATATCCCACTCAATCTGAAAATGTACATACACATTTAAATGCACAAGCAATCATGCCTTAAGACAGATGTGTGCTATTCATTCAAATTTTAAAAATGTATCTTTAAACTTAAAACTCAAGTAAAAATGGTTCAACTAATTGTTAAAACAGTTTGCTATACATTTTAATTACCTTGTACAATCCTCTTCTTTTTCCTAACTCCCTAAAACTCACATTGCCTTCAAAGACAACACATTTTTAAACAAGGCAGCTATCTGTTTTTCTCTCACACACCTTCTGACTTTAAAAATGGCAAATCTTTTCCACTATCTACCAAGAGAGGCCACAGAAGTTTAGATCTTTCCACCTCAGTCATGTGAGTATACCTGGCCATTTTAAAACACCTCACTTAAGAAAAAGTTATGACTGACTGCTAAACTCTTCATGTAAGAAACAAAAGGGTGAAGAAATTTAAGAAACAATGAGAAAATACCACTTCCTGAATCATACTTAGTCCTGAAGATTCTGTTCTATACAATGCCCAATCACTTTCTAAAAAGCCATTTACTCATGTTATTTCAACAATTAAACATTCTGAATTTAACGTATCCATGATCTACACCATAATCACACACTATACACTTTAAATTTAGAATTGTTCAAAAAAACGTGTAAGTGATCTGACTCTAAGAAATTACTTTGTGACAAGCATAACCTAGCATAGCTATTTCCCAGGCCAGTCTTCCTAGTCCAGCACCAGGTACCAGAACATTTACTTTAGAAGGATCCCTGGAATGAAATAAGGCAATTATGTCCAACCCCTCAAAGGAAAAAAAAAAAATGAAATACCTGTTGAGTACAAAGTTGGAAGAAAAGAGCATAAAAAAACTCCATTCATTTCCTTGACAAGCATAACCTAGCATAGCTATTTCCCAGGCCAGTCTTCCTAGTCCAGCACCAGGTACCAGAACATTTACTTTAGAAGGATCCCTGGAATGAAATAAGGCAATTATGTCCAACCCCTCAAAGGAAAAAAAAAAAAAATCTGCATTAAAAACTACAAAATTATTCATTAAGAATAAGCTTACTAGGACTCTGACTTCTGTAGACTGAGAAATACTTCTAAATATCAAGTTATACAGAAAGCATAAAGAATTACTGTATGTGTTCAGATATCTGTTGGGAATTTTTAACGCAAAAATTATTTTTCAAAAAAAAGGAAGTACCTTATATCTGAAGACATATGAAATGATTCATATTCTGAACAGCTGTCACCTGAACTGTCAAGAAGACAGACTATTCCAAAGTACCCCAATTGCATATGAAGAGTTTAAACAAAATCATTTGAGACAGGAAAGCAAAACCTGACTTTACTTCTAAATTCTTTATGTAATTCAAGAACTTACACAGCAAAAAGCAGATTCACTATATATTTATATTTTAATTCATCAAGCACGCATATATTAAAGCAATATACATTTTGGTTCAGAAGAATGAGGAAGGGATATTTTCTTGAGAAAAATGGGGGAACTGGCATTGAATTCAGCATATATAATGGTAAACACTACATCAAGCCAGTTCACAACCTAACTCATCACATGGTCGTCATAGGTTTCCTTTGCTGCAAGAGCTGCCATTGCACTTTCAAATTACAAATAGCCTCGGCAAAAAAAGGCTTCTGCATGCTAAGCCTGGGAAATCAGTATGATCCCAAGAAAAGTAAAATAGTATTCTTATAGAAAAACCAAAGGAAAATATGTATAAGCAGCTAGAACAATGCCCTGTAAAAGGAATTTGATGACTGCATTTCCTTAATTTTGGCTCACAATTTCCAGAAACTTACCTCTACTTTAAAGTCCATCTTTAAACTATAAGTCCATTTGGCACGCTTGAAAAGTAGCAGAGCATTCTGCTAGTAGCCCAGAGAATAATCTCTGCATATCCCACTATGAAATAAGAAACAGCCCTCTGGGGCTTTTGAAATTCAGTCTAAAATGAAAGTACCATGAAGATTTGTCCATGGTTATTAAGTCTAAGGTATCTATATATGGAACATGTGTTTGTATGAAATCTTAATGAAGTGTGTCTCACTGCTGTACTTTATATATGAAAAAAAATTAAAAGGGAGTTCATACAAAGAGACCCATTACGGTTAATAAGACATCCTTTAGTACTTGATATGGATGAAGTGACACCAAGGAGGTACATGAAAAGCTAATATACAATGTTTTCTTTTTTTTTTTCTTTTTTAGTCAGGGTCTCACTATGTAGTTTAGGCTGTTCTTCAACTCACTGTGTAGCCAGGCTCGACTCAAATGAGCGGCAATTTTGTCCCAGCCTCCCAAGTGCTGGGATTACAGGCATGTGCCACCAGGCATGGCCAATGTTTTTTCCTTGTTCCAGATTATAGACGCTGTGTATGTTCATGTTTGCACTCTAATTTTAATGAAGCAAATGGACTATCCTCTCACTCTGTATGATAGAGAATTTGCCTAGCATGCTGAGAGACACTGGGTTTGATCCCCTGCACTGCAGCAAGAATTATCAAAATAATGCAAAAAAAAAAAAAAAAAAGGATTTGTAATTAAACTTTATTTTTAAAATCGCAGTTAATTTCCTAAATAGCTGATGAACAAGTATAAAAATGTACAACAGGGGAATTAAAAGTCATCTTAACTTTAAGGAAAAGCTATGCTAAATTAATACAATTATGATACCAACAACTATTGTGGTAACTTGTACAAAAAAGATTTTATGACAGCTGTTATCAACTATTCCCTAACTAGTCAGAAGTACACAACTCTCTACCCCTACCTTGTGGAAGAAAATATATTAACAGTAGTTTGCATAAGATTACTACTAAAAGGTTATCAGTCCATTGAATACAGAACATATCAAGGCTGTATCTTAAGAATTAGCATACTACTGACCTATAAATTTTATTATAAAATTTGTATTATGACAAAAAGGATTTCAATGGGCACATAAGAGACACATTAAAACATCTTCTAGAACTGAAAAAAAATAATAAATCAGAAACAGGTTTCTCTTATATGAAAAACCCAAAGTATAAATAATTTAAGGAGAAAAATAAAAGAAAGATGATAGGAAATACAGAGGTAGACTTTGAGGACTGGGGTAAATGGGAGAGGAGGAGAAATAAAAAGAATCAAGATGTGATGTGTACATGTGCCAACACCACTAAGGTACGTATTAGTTATGTATTGCAAACATATACTAATAAAAATGTAAAAAGAACCAATGAGCCCACCAGAAAATATATGAGACTAGGGTGGGGCAAGGACAGACAATGGGGAGATGATCAAAGTGTGTGTTGTGCATGTACAGATCTGCTAGAATGAAACCTCTTCAGATCACATAAATCTTTTGCCTTTTACCAAAAATGAAACCATTAATATACTCTAATTAAAATACTGGAAAATGAACCAAGCAAGGAATAGATGATAATAGAGAAAAGTTTTCCTTAATTTTTTTCAATTCCACCTCCCACACCAATCCTGGGGATGGAACCCAGGGATTTGCAAATGCCATGCAAGCGCTCTACCACTGATTTGTCCCTAGACCCTTTAAAAAGTTTTGAGACATGGTCTTGCTAAGTTCCCCTGGCTGCCCTGAAACTTAGCAAATTCCTCCAAGCTGTTATACTTCTGCCTCAGAACCCTATGGAGCTACAGTTACAGGACTGCATCACCATGCCAGGCTTTCAACAGTTCTTTATAAAGGGGTACAGTATATACAACGAAATAGAAAGGTCCTCTAATTACATTATGCATGAAACTAAGGAATTCTGGCAGTTTGTGGTATGGATCTTTAAGAAGTCTGGGGCATTTCTATGAATGCATTTCTATGGAGAATAAGAGAAATGACTATAAACCTTAATAATGAAATGATTTTACTTTTTTTTTCAGTACTGGCAATCAAACTCAGGACCTTGTGCTTTCCAGGCAGGCATGGCACCACTAAGCTAAATCCTCAGACAAGACGATTTAAAATCCAAATGAATCTTTAAAGAATAGAGACACATTCAGTACATGCTCAGTCATCAAACATTTCTGACTGGAGATTCTTAGTAAAAGAAGTTTACGAAGTTATTATGGTTCAAATATAGTGAAACTGTATTATTTACTACAAATGTGTCATCTCTCACATAAAAAGGGTAAAGTCTCAAGACTCAAGAGAAGAATAGAGAGAGGGCAGAAGAGGCCATGAGCTGCATTCACATCACCCTTTTAGTGACAGTATTTTACCAGAATAAGTGTTCTTTTTTTTCCATTATTATTTTTTATCAGTACATGTTTGCATTATTGATTACATAATGGCAGTTTACTTCATTATATACAGAATGATCCTTGTATTGTAGTAGACCAAGAAAATTCCAACGTGACTTTGTGTTGTTGTATCAACGTGGTGACACTTGACTGACCCCTAGTGGTAGGAATACTGACAACTTTTACACACCAAAAATGGGTTCACAGCTACCCAGTCCAATACACAGTAATAGTCATGACCCACGTGTGGCTATTAAAACACTTAAATGTACAAATTGTAAGTGTAAAACAAAACCAGATTTCACCTGTTTTATTTTACCTTTTTATGTGGCTAAAAGATTTAAAATTACATGTGTCTTGCATTTGTGGACTGCACAATGATAGTGTATTTCAGAAGAGACGATGTTTCTACTGAATAGTGCTGATATATATACATAAATCATGAAAGCCTTCCACAGGCTGGGGCTGGGATGTAGACAAAGCACACTCATAACTGAGGCCCTGGGTTTAATCCCCAGCATAAAAATAAAATCACAATGAGCAAAAGGAAACTGAAATTATATTACAAACCATTAAATAAAAACCATACAGGAGTGTGATGTCTTTAGCATTATATAAACATTTAGTTGATGCAGCAATGCAGGATGAGAGTAACAAAACAAGTGTATGTTAGTGGTTATTTTGAAAAATGACAAATGTGCTCTAAATGGTTTGCAAGGCAGTTTCAACTTTACCCACAATCAGTTTCTTAAAAAATAAATCTTAGCTGGGCGCGGTGGTGCACACCTGTAAGCCCAGCACACTGGGAAGCTGAGGCAGGAGGATTATGGAGAGTTCCAGGCCAGCCTGGGCCACATATTGAGTTCAGGGCCAGCCTGAGCTACAACGGGAGACGCTGCCTCAAAAAACAAAAACAAAAGCAAACAAAAAAATTAAAAATTAAAAAAAAATCCCAAGAAAATATGGTACAAGGTTTAATAAAGCTTTGTGCTGAATTTTTAAATTATTCATCATTAAAAATGGGCCATAAGTATTACCTATTTATATATGGAACATGTATTTATATGAAAACTTTAACAGTCTGTCTCACTGTTGTACTTTAAAGATGAAAAAAATTAAAAGAACTCTGTCAAAAAAGACTGCATACAAAGAGATCCATGATTAGTAAGACCACCTTTAGTAGCTGATATAGAGAAACTGATGCCTAGAAGGTATACAAGATGTTTTCTTTCTGTTCTAATTATAAACTGTGTATGTTCATGTCTGCACTCTAATTTTAATGAAGAAAAAAAAATGGGCTCATCCTATTTTGTAGCTCAGTGGTAGAGAATTTGCCTAGCATGTGAGAAACCCTGACATACCTAAGCACTGCAAGAAAAATATAATCATTTCCTTCAAAAACAGTCCCACATTCTCTCTTCATCCACTCCCAACTAAGACACTCTCACTTTAGCCAGAAAATTTCTCAGACACCAGAAAAGTTTGTAGAGTCCCCCACAAACTCACAGAAAAACTTCATTACACTGTCAGTATACTTCATTCAGATACCTGTTACAGTTTATATCACAAATTATTTTCCTTTATTTTCTTTCATTTAATGCAAGACTTATCAACTATGAACTGCAGGCCAAGCACTGGTTTTTGTAAATAAAGTATTATTGGACCACAGTCATGCCTACATGTTGCTTACAGCTGCATTCA